GCGCCCCCCCCCCTAGAGAAGCCCAGGCCCAGGCCCCACTTGCTGGAGATTGAGGACTCATTGTCAATTCCACGAGTTGGAAGTGGCCCAGGTGCTAGAGATAGTCAAGATTATTGATTTCATTATAGCTACCTGTGTAAGAGTAGCAATTCCACCACAACTTCTTATATTCCTCTCGTCTGTTTGAAGACACAACTGTCTGCTCCTGCAAGCACTTGTATATACTGTAGGCTCTATGTGGTGAGGGTGGATACCTATACTGTATGGTCTCAATGATGGAGTGTGGAAGATTGTCTTGATTTGATGTGACTACTTTCCAATATTGAAGCATTTCTTTGTTCCACAAGGTTGTGGCTGAAACAAATTTAGACAATCAATGCTCAGTTTGCAACCCCACATGTCGAAACAAAAAAGCACCCCCCAAAAAAGTCAGTCATGTTTCAGAACTCGTGAAGCAAACCGGTCATATATGTGTCCAATGCACCAAAAAGCAAGACCTTCGCTATCCCCAGCCTTCCAAGATCATTTCAATAAAAGGTTGAGCTGGTCTTCTAGTCTAAACCTTAGTATACCAAACAATTGTTTTGCAGTGAAACTCACACCCTTATGGCTTCTTTTCGTCCCTCTCTGGCCCTCCATCGAACAGCAGCTCCACAGTCGGTTGACGGAGCTGCAGCTCCGCGTAAACCGGGGCAGGAGAGAACTCAGTTATGTGTTGACTCGTTCGCCTTCAATTTGACCATTCAAAGAATGATTGATCTGCCCAGACGCTCATGGACCCTCCTAAGTAGGGGTCCGGACCCTCAAATATTAGGGTTTTGATGGACCAAGAGCTGTTTGGAGCGTCTGAGTGGTTGTGTTTGGTCCTTGAGGTTTGCAAAGAAGTCAGCACTGAGGTGTACTTAATGGACTTTGCTTAGTGTTCGGATGGACCCCTCTTGGCACAAAAGCTACCGGAAGCGTATTGAGCTGTCCTTCTTGGCTGGAGGATTTGGCTATTTGGTGCCATCCATTGTATTCTTTTTGCACGCTTGCGCAGGGAGAAACCTCTATGTCTATGGATAATTTTTATTTGAGGATAGAATTCACACGACTGTGCCCTCCGTTTGGGGGCCACCCATGGACTGCCCGGCCCGTTCGCACTAGCTACTTCCTGGGGACACTGCTTCAGTCTCCGATAACCCGTTTTCGCACTTCCAAAAACACATGACAAGACTAACCTGCATGGCCTCAGGGGTCAATGTAGGTAAACATATTATGTAATTAAATTAAATATATATGCCCTCCATGGACCCTAGCACACCCTAGCCTTCCAAGACTAGAACGTTTAACATATGCGCCCTACCTCCTGGCTGGTCGTCTAAACTCCTTAGGAGAGCCAGAAATCCCCCTAGTGAGGGTCTATGCGCCCCCCCGAGGACGGGTTTTCAATCATGTCCAGCTCACTTTTAGTGTACTGACATTTTTGGGTTGTAGCTATGTGACCTACCTCGTAACCTACCTCTCTCTCTCTCTTTTGTGGGGTGCCAGTTTTGCCGTGATCTGCTGAGTTCAAAGCGCAATCCGATTCTGCATGCCCGAAGTGTCACTCACTTCTTCGTTCGGAACAGCTGAAGGAAACGCACTGCTGACCTCGCAGCACAGAAACCCGGACGTCTCCCAATTCAATCGCGAGGTGATGCGTCCAATCGACTGAAAACTCACTTTACGGACCTTGAAAAGCACTGGTGCAGCTAGAAGAAAAACCGTCGGAATGACCGGTGCCATGCTTCTCCCCGAGTCTATGGGAGTGACCTATAGGGATACGTGTTGATCATCATCTGATAACATCGGTGACCCAGTCCTCATCGAACCGTCTGAGAGTCTAAGCTAAGCGCAAAGAGACGGCCAAGCACGGCCCGTCTCGCTACAAGCCAGGGATCAAGGATCCAGCGTTGCTGTGGCCGAGGTGGGACTGGGTCCAAAACCCGGAGGACCCTGGTGGACCACAGAGAATGAACAGAATCAACGACTATATAAGGATCAACCGAGCTAAAAGAGTCAACTGAGCTCCGCGTTTTGACCCACATGTCTGCCTATCACAGTTAGGGGAGGCCACCTGGAACAACCAGCCCAAACACCGGGCCGCTCGCGGAAGGAAACGCCGCTGCCTGCGGGTAAATGGCGGCCACCACCGGCAGCCGCTGCATCACCAGCCTTATGTGCTGGTCTGGAGACGGGTCGAGGCACGTAGAGGATTGGCTGAATTTGGAGGCCCAGAAAGGATCAACCCGCCCCAGATCCCAGAAGGGGCCCAAGGAATCCCAGGCGAGCCACAAACCCTAAGAAGACGTGTTCCGTATTCCCCATTCTTCAAAGAACCCTTTTCGATGTCGCAGGATGTCCGCAGTGAGGAAGCAGAAAGGGTCTGGAAGAAGGTGACTTGGAAGAAGCTGGATGATGCTGGATGTTAGGGGAATCAACATCATCCAATCATCTGGATCCCAAGCATGTTGGTCTCAGCACCAAAAATCTGATGTTTGGATCCCAAGTCACCAGACACTCCGCACTGGCGACATGTCGATCACTTTGGATGGTGGAAAACCAGGCGCAAAGACCCCAAACCCGACCCCGAAGCCAAACACTGCATGTGTGGCATATTTGCCTACCCTGGGCTGGTCGGTTAGCTGAAGTGAATGTGTGTATATATATATATGTATATGTATATATACAGAGAGAGAGAGAGAGATCTTCAAGTACCATCGGTCGTAACGATGGGACCCCGCATTGAATCCCTCAAATTCTAGTCAAACGAGACTCTGTTTCGATGTATCCTTTACATATGGGTGTGATTTTAAATAGGGAGACTCCCAGTTCGACGTTCTGGAAGAAGCAAAGTAAAGAGACCATGGCTACCCGGCCAGGGCCAGGATTCTTAAAATACAATAAGATACACGGGCGCACCGAATGTGAACCATCACGTGAGATCTCTTATCGCAGATAGATGGTTCTTGTGGAGGAATACAGTGCCGCCACCTTTCTCAGTTGCTTTTTTTTGTAATCTCCAATCAAAATACCAGGAGAGAGATGTTGGTCTCAGTTAAACTACTTTGTTCCTTCTACCAGTGATTGGACTGGAGTCCTCCAGTTGTAAGGCAAACCCTGTTGGGACCATACATATCATTAGTTTAGAGGAGCCGTACGACACCCAACTTTCTTGCTTTTCCTGCTTGTCGAACGTCTCATCAAACCTGAACAACTCATTCAAGACCCTGCCATGATCGGAATGTCTTCCAGCGACTATCCCACCCAAACCCCACCATTGATTTAATGAGCTTTACTTACCAACGAACCATTGTTTTACTAAGGGAGTTCGGACAATGTCAACCCAGCAGCTTCTTGTTACTATAGTCCCATGAGGTCGGCTAAGGGTTGACCTGGTCCAACGCGACGCGGTGCTTTAAAACCCCTGGCATCGCCTCGCTGTTGAAACGACCGCGGGGAAACACCGCGGTGCGAAGAATCCTCAAAGCTTTCCGCCTGTGGAGGGGGGGGGGGAAAAGCACATGTGGATTCTCATGCAGCTTGCACTTTACACCAACAGGCCTCCCAATGTCACGGGCTTTTTTTCTTGGTCGCACTGGAGAGAACAGCCCTCGTCTTCACGAACATTGAGACCTCTGTGTGTTCCACACGTAGTCGTTCCAAGGTCCCAGTCAATCACAGGGATCCATAAAATCGCTCGGATGGCTCAAAAATGGTTCAAGACAGAACCCATGTACTTGGCGATGTACGGCAACCTTAGTTAGATGAATGGCAGACAGTTTCAGGTCATCATGAAATTTTCTTCCCAGCAAATTAGACGGAAACTGAAAGTCGTGTCCAACAACTGCTCAAAGTGGGCCACATACATAGACCAATCCAAATTCCTACCAGGGCCCTAGCGGATTGCGTCTCGATTTGTGGTAGTGCACAATTGCTCTAAGCAACGCCTGCTTGGCCACATCAAAGGTGGGATCCAATTGCCTCACTAAGCCTTCACTGATGGAAATGGTGAAGAGCGTCGAGGCGACATCTCCTTTCAGGAGCATGCCGTGCCTGACCCCGCAGCGCGGACACTCCGCCCGGTGTCCAGCCGAAGGCAGCACCGTCGGCGTTGGGGTTGGGTGTCTAAGAGATGGTCAAGGCGGGCGTTGGTGCCAGGCGTTCGTGCCCCAGTCTGAAGTCCATGAGCCAGCAGTCACAAAGGGGTGCTTAATGGAGGTTTGGGGGTGCCCATTATCCACTCACTTAGGGACTAAACACCACCCCTTTGTGACTGCTGGAGTAAAGGAAATTCATGGGAAATTCTTAACTTCGGGTCATCCAGTCAGACCATGTCTAAAACCGTCTCGCTCTCCCAGTCAGGGAGTTCTTCGTGAACGACCCGCGCAACCGGAAGATCCCGGCACCGGCCCATTGTGAGTGGAGAAACCAACCCCCCCAACATGGGGTGGGCTTTCGTCTATTCTCCGCATAAACTGTTTATAGATGTTTGATGGTTTGGTAAATGTATTGATGATTTGATGGTTTGATGGTGTTTGATGGTGTTTGATGGTTTGGTGCTTTCTGGCAGACATCAAGTCCCAGGCGTGGCGTCGCGGACGTCGCTCCCGGTCCCGGTCCCCGGGCGTGCCGGCGACCCGGCCCTGTTCTACTCGGTGTTCGGTGCACTGGGTACATGACATCAAGAGTATCACTGGGTCCAACATCTCGTCAGCTCCAAAAGAAGACAAACTAAAAACTAAACACACAGTCCTCAGCTCAGTTGGAAAAGATCCCAAACAAAACTTCAACTCTTTCCCCTACCAAGCCAAAACAAACCATCCAAATCCCGGTTTCTGGCAGCCCAAACACACACACAAAACAAAAAGAAGACCACAAAAACACACAAAAAAACAGGACACGCGCGAAACCACGGTGACGCCCGACACCAACTCGGCAGGGGGGGTGTCCGGTTTCCGGTCTTCGCTTCGGTTGACCACTCCGAGCGGCCTCTGCAAGGTGAACATCACCTGAGAGATCCGCGGCGGTGGAAGCCATACGATCCCAACTGGATCGTTAATTGAAACAAACATGTTATACCAGTAGTCACAAAGGGGTGCCCAATGGAAGCCCCTACACCACTAAGGGACCTCCATTGGACACCCCTTGAAGGTCCAGTAGTCACAAAGGGGTGCCGAACTTGGAGGAAGTCGGGGTGCCCCTGTCACATCCACTCACTGGATGGGACGAGCCACACCACCCCGAGCTCTGTGACCCCTGGTAACTGTTGTTATATATTATTATCGCAGACGAGTCGGATGCTCCTTCGCCCGGCAAGCCTCACACGGCTTATCTCAGCGTGGTTATAACTGTTATTAAAAAAATAAACAATTAAACAAACTTAGTTATTTTTATTAATTGAACCAATTTAATTTTGGAAAGAAACTTGTTTAATGAGTTGTTATACACAACATATATACCAGCTGCTTCCAAGGGGTTACCAATGGACAACCCTACACTTCTGATAGGTCACCATTGGACATCCTACAGATCTCAAAGGATTCATGTTATAGTCCATCTGCTGTATGAAACTTGTGGTTGATTTCAAACAAAACAGGGTGTAAAAGTTCATACATACGTCTTTTGTCTCTCGGGAATGTTCGTTTCTCTGGAAAACTCCGGGTTCTCCAAACGTTCCAAACTGGTTGGAAAATCAGTGGGGCGTCCCCATTGTCCGGGAGCTTCACTTCGTTCGTACAAAAGAAAAACGACAAGAGCGAAGTGAGTGGATGTCAGCCAAAAAGGCACACCATGAGTGTCGTGGCCGTGAGTTCAATGGCTGCGGCTTCTGATCAAACGGCGGCGGCGACGACGAGGACAACGACAAAAGCCAAAAGAACAAGAACCACCTGCCACTACAAGCCGCAAGAGCAAAAATGAGCAAAATACAAGCCGCAAGCCACTACAACAACCATGAGCAAAATGCTACCACAAGCCGCAAGATGTCGCAAGCACGACAACGTCGACAACCAACCAAACGCCTCGAGCACCGGTCCCGGTCGCACCTCTCCAAACATATCCGCCGCATTGAGAGGGCCGTGCTGATTCAGTCTGAAAGGGCCCATGTATTTGTCCATGGTTTCCTCGGCGGAGGCGCTCGCTCCTTTGGCGGTCTGCTAAGCCGCTTGTCTTAGCGTTTAATCTCGCTTAATCAGTTTAATCATGTGTAATCTAACTATATTATAAGTATGAAATCCATTCTAAGCCGTTTAATCAGCTGACTAGTGATCTAGTATGAAATCTTTTCAAAACCGAATGAACCAAGGATCTATAAGAGGCTTCCTTGGCTGTCTACAGCTCCTTTGCTAAGCCCTAGGATTGGCGGCACGGAACAACGATTGTTTTACTAAGGATGTTGTAATGGTGTCCTTGGCTGGTCCATGCTCTGGTTTTGGATTTGTATAACGTTGCTTTTCGTGGCTTTAAGACAAATGCCAGAAAATCCCTTTCCCTAAACCCGAGGACTCTCTAAAGACGGTCGACCGTCAAGTCATTGACGCCGTCCTTTTTCGGACCGTCCCAAGGGTCCTGAATATCCGTCTTCAGCTGCTTCGTGTTGACGCAGATCTTGGACTCGTTAAATCGCTGGAGGTAGTCGACGACGATGTCGGTCTGGCCAGAACAAAGCCTTGGATTGGCTGATTCGGAACCTGGCAAACAATACATGGTTTCCCAGGTTAGGGGAGTGACCCAGTTCGGGAAAATAGAGAAACTCCCACCTGATCAGCAAAACCTGGAAGCGCATGCAGGAACACACCGAAGGGAGCAAAGGTCCTCTTCTCCAAGGAGGTGGCGATGCCAGCATCAAGCACGGTCACGTGGTCATCTGACATGGAATAAAGGATGTTGCCCCCATGTAGGTCGCCATGGACAAAATTGTCCCTCACCATCATCTTCATGCTCATGTCATAGAGGATCTTGGATAACTTTCCTTGCACCTGGCGTTTCTTCTCTTCCAGCGCGCTCACAGCGTCCTGGCATTTGGCCTTGGCATTGTCAAAGTCCTCCATGATATTGGAAATGAGCTCGCCACTTTCCCATGTCTCCACCAACACTTCTGGAGTCACAAAGCGTGAAGAGACCTGGTGGGTCATGGTGTTCGACGAGTCTGTCGCGTTTTCGTCGTGTCTACCCGAGTCTACCGTCGGTCAAGAGATAGACCTGGATCTTCCATCATCCCTCCACCGTCTTGAAAAACCATAGAACATCAGCCCCCAGGTAGGCAAAACGAGACTCTAAAAAAGGCACCACTTGGAAGCAATGTCGTTTTCAGCCGGTCTAGAGGAGACATCGACGAGATGTCTTATCTGATTCATATAATCCGGATGTTATGTTTTGTGTCTCCCTGCGCTAAACAAAACAACCAAGGCCCTACCTCTGTATCGTTCAAGAAGAGAAGAAGAAGCCCTCACATCTGAGACTGAATATGCTTTGGTCCTGCACACCCTGGTATCATATCCGATAGACAGGTCCGGTCTATCAATAAACCATGCACTAAGTTGCCAATATCTCAGAACCTTTACCAGAACCATTGAAGCTTTACTAAGAACCTCAAATTCAAATCCGATATCTGCTCTGACACATCCAAATGATTAAACCAGTCTCCGATTTGCCTTCCCCACCACAACCCTGCAAAATCCACTCACACTTATGACCCCCCCGCCTTCGGGAAGCGGATACAGCTTTCACCCTTGAAGTTCTTGGCGAACTGTTGCAAGTTAAAGGCTTCGCGGGTGAAATCCATCTGTGCTTGGATCACACCGTCAAAGTCACTCCGGTCGAATGGCATCGTCATGTGCAAGAAGTTCTCCTGAGTGGGGCGAATCCAATGAGGAGATGAATGCTGTGTGGAGGGCATGCCACTTGGACAATGATGCAAATTCATACCCAAGCTTGGTAGTCATCTAGTGTCTTCACTCATTCCTGAATGGGTGGCCTGGCAAAAACGATCAACACAACGACCAACAATAGGTCTGGATCCGGGATCATGATTATTTACTTATAGGAGGGCACTACGTGACAAGTCCAGCCATTCCTTTGTTGAAGCCATGTAGAACATGACACCATGACAGCTGGCTAGGGCGCCTTCCCTCCAAATGATGCAAGCTCCCACAAGGGGAACGGTGGTGTACCCTACGAGCTGCGACGCCCTGGGCCACAGATGTGGAGGGACCCTTAGTGGACGATGTGGAGGGGTCAGAATGCTGCAGGGCTCGGGGTCAGTCTACCTGGGTCAGTCTTCTGATCTTCCAGGTGTTCTTGAGATCCAGGCCCTCATGATCGATCTCATGTTGGAATCGTTTGGAATCCATCGCCAACTCAAACAACTGCAAGTCTTCTTCAACGTCCATGGCCGCCATGGCCCGGAGACTCGGAAGGCACCTGGGGTGAGGCACCGTCAACCTTCAGAATGCTAAAGAACCGAAGCAAAGAAGCGCATCTGAGGCTCTGAAAACTCCACGATCTTCCAAACGATGTTCAAATCCTCAGGAGGGGAGGCTTAAGCACTACCTCCTGCGTGCGTCAGAAAGGCAGTGATGAGCACCGCGCGGTCGCTCGGAATGAGTTAAACCGATGTTCGGATCCTCCTCGCAGGGAATGCGATGGATCGATGGAGCGATGAGTGTGAAAAAGTCAAGCAAACAGTAGCGGACAGGTGGATGGCTGCTAGCGGACAGAGAGCTACTAATAGTTGAGGGATTCCGGCATGACCAAGGGGAAAATACGAAGGCAGCTCCTAATGAGCATATATATAACATATATATATATATATTATGTATATAAATATATATATGAGCACTATAGTCACTATGGCATACTCGAGCATACTATCGCACTCCCAAATGAGTTGGACACTATGTTTAGTTGAGATTGACTTCAATTGACCGAAAAATACAAGCAAATCGATTGAAGAGTACGCTACGTACTAAGTAGGGAAGCCAGGCTTACTTGGGAAAACCATGGCTGCAAGTCTCCCATGCGCAGCCTCTCTGCTGCTTCTGCGTCATTGAGGCCAGTCACGCCGGAGAGTCGCAAAATGCGGAACCGCGCCGGACCATGCCGGGTGAAGCGTTTCAAAGACACGCCTCTTTGACTTGGCCGGCCAAGCAAACGGGACCCCCGTTGGTGTTCCGCGAAACGGAAACATCCGTGCCTTGGCCTTGGATTCCCTACCCCAGCACCACCCCAAAACTAAACTGATTGGTTCCTGATTCTTAAAAGTACCAAGAGGCCTGGAAAAGGTCAATGGATGGGACTCCAAAGTTGGGTCAGGAACTCAAGAAGCTGGTTTGTACCACGAATGTCCATCAACCGACCCAATACCTCAAGCACCTCAAGGCGCGGGTGCTTTTTGCGTTTCACCTCTGCCGCGGTGACTTTTGGGCCGTAATGACCTCTAAAAGTAAGAAGACCTGCTGAACGGGTCTACAGTCTACAGCTCACATCTGGTGAACACAGTGAATATCTACTAAGTTACTAGGCAGATCGATCAAGTTTGAGCAATCTTCTGAGGATGGCTCTGGATCTCTGAACATTCCTTGCGCTGCAGCAATCAAATTCCTTGGGGCTCACCGCTCACCCCGTATACTCTCCGAGTCGTCTCCCAACGAACCACCGATGCTCCAAACCAAGGCTCCATGAAGGCGCTTTCGATGACGCCGGGGTGTTGGATCTTCACGGCCACTTCACGCAAATGTCCACCTCAGTCTGAGGTAGCTCTTCTCAGTCCACCATCCGAGTGTCTAGTCTGTCTGGATGTGTCTAACGATCGAGCTGGGAGGACGACTGACCTCCTCCCCAGCGACACCGACCACACAGGATGGGTGGCCAGGCCAGTTCTTGGTCCGTGCTTCGGAGTGTTCCATCGTTTTTGTCCCATCTTGGCCGCCCCAATGACCCGTGTTCAAGCGCCCCAACTGATCCAGGAGATATGGGGAGTCACTGCCAGTCCTGACTCAGGTTTTGGTCGAAGAAACAAAGGGGCGAGTCGCTGCGAGTCAGGGATCAAAGGACGAGGACCGACAAAATGGTTGCTGCATGATCACCTGGTCTGTTACAAAGATGAGCCCCTAGAAGTCCAGTGAGGACGATACTTTTCCTTCCTGAACTCGGATCCTCTTTTGGGGTCACTTATGGTCTTCTAATCTCGCAGGGGAGCCAGTTCACAAGAGTTGGGATGGGAATTGGAGTTATATCTGCCAAAAGCCATGACACAAATCTTTTGTCATTTGGTACCATCCCGGCCCTTTCAGAATACTATATGTACTATGTACGATTTATATACACATATGTATTTATATTTAGATTTATACTATGTCTTATTCTATGTCTATGTCTATGTCTTGTCTATGTCTTCTTCTTCTTCAACTCCAGTTTCCTCATTGTCCCATTGGTCACGTGCTTCCCCTTCTCTCGCATCATAACTGTCACTGCTTCTGTTTTGGCCGGCTGTGGTCACCAGCAAAACCTCTTGAACCTCACACAGGTGTAGCTTCTTGAAAGGGTGTTTGGGTCACTCTGGTAGCCACATGTGGCAAAATACACCACATGCATCCACATGCTCTTTTATTTCGATTGGCTGTTGGATTAATTATAGAGTTAGAGAGGCTTACCGGCCAGGAGGTGTTCAACCGATCCTATCATTGATATCACCAACATCCAGACTTGTCGTGGTAAACGTATCACTTCCGATTGCTGAATGGTGACGGAGCCCGATTCCTGACATCGACAAATAACATTATGTTGTATTATGTTGCTAGACAACTTTAATCTAAACATCTAAACAACATCTTTATATGCTTGCTGTTTGGTTTGGATAACCAGTCTACCAGCTTCTTCAGTTCGTGACTCGAACTTTGGAGTCCATCCAATCCAGTGACCGGACCAATCAGGGGATCAAGTTCAGTCACGAACCTGAAGAACCCCCGCATGGATGATCAACCGACCCAATACCCCCCAAAATCCCGTCGATTTTTCCAACTGAAAGACCGTGTATGGTGCGTTTCTCTATCTACACCATCCTACACCCGTTCACCTTCAATAACACTTGAAAGAGCGGCAGCGTAAAATCACTGTGTTGGGTAAACATTCCCTTAAAACAATGGCTGGCCAGGAATCCCGGCGAATTCCCATGTTCGGGGAGCTTTGATAAGGTTTGGGAGCTGGGAGTCCTTTTTGGCCACCCCACCTGGGCCATCCAGGGCGTGTTCCGGGCGCAGGCGAGCGCGGTGCACTTGACCGACGGAACCACTGGCCACCGGCTCTTCCTGCGCCGTCGTTGGTGCAAGCGTCTCAGTCGTTGGTCACACACGAATGGATGGAAGTGTGTCTTTTTCAGAATCCTGCAGGAATCACAAGGAATGCTGTGCCGCAGTGATTCCAAAAACTGGATGTGTTTGCATCTTGAAGTTCTTGAAGCCGTAAGATCTGGAGAACATAGAACAGCTGAGACCACATCGCATCTACCGCTGGCGTGGGAATTGGGTGTCATTTTGGAGCGGCGATCCCTCCGTCACATCGCTCTCACAATCGCGGGTAGAACATGGGTGCGAAAGAAATCATCACACCCAGAGCCGGACCATGAAACCATTGGGTTCACCAGTCCCTCACAATCCCTCTCTCACCCTCCTAACTTAGGGCTTACGGCACCAGTCACTCTGGAGAAATCAGAGTGACTGGCGAGTGACTCGGCAGGCCGTTCAGGAACTGAACTCTTTATGGTGGGAAAATGAGCTCTGCCAGAACATCCAGATCTGGATTGCTCCACTCCATCCGATCTCCACTCCTCAAATTCCTCAAAGAGCTCTTCCACCTCCTTGCCCAGGTGTTCCCTCAGCTTTTGACGGCTCACTGTGCCCGGGTGCGCCGGCGCGTCCGCGCGCAGCTTGCTGAGCACTAGGATGACGTCGGGCGGAAACATATCCTTGGGAATTTGGCCGATTCGGAAGTCTGGAAAACAAGAAAACATCAGGCCCCAGGTCGGGGGATGTTCATGGATTTAGATGGATTTGGCCAGTCCAGGACAATCCACCAAATCCACCTTAAAAACCCACTGAAACCAGGTCTCTGGCCGCATCGAGAGCCACTGTCCAAATTTCTGGAAGGCCGCACCCGCGCGCTGCGTGCATTCCTGGGCTTCATCTAGAAGAGGTTCCAAGGATGTTGAAGGTTCTGGTTTTGAGAGCTAAATCGAACAACGAGGTCCGTGTTCAAAGCCGATTCCAGGAGGGATTCCAGGAGGGACAGGAGGGACACAGAAAAGAGCACCTGAAGTGGCTGCCCGGATTCCAACATCTGTTGCAACCAGAATTCCCTCCAGTATCCAGCATTGCCATTCTCCTTCTTCACCAGGAGCACCAAGGATGCGCACATGAAGGGTGCAAAAACGAAGGCCAAGAACACAGAGCGTTTGAAGGCAAACCAGGCCTTCTGATACCAAGGCCATGTCTCCTTGGATAGCGTGGGGCTTCTCGGTTCTCCTCATGCACTTCCTGGTTCTTCCGAGCGGCCGACCCCCGTGGTTTGAGGATGCTTGAGGTCACTTGTATAGGGATGCCCAAAGGAAGGGGTCACGAACTGAAGAAGCCGGTTCTTGACCTCCCTGGTGCATCTTCTACTACGAAAACGTCCCCTCGTCTGACCTACGACCCAAAAACAATTTTATTGAAACACATGGACAAACCATGACGTTCTTCTATGCCATTCTGCCACGTCTCGTAGGGGTGAATAAAGGCTTCAGGCTCCGGCACGGCGGGCAGCTCGATCTCTTCGCTTGGTCTCCTCCAGTATGAGAGACCCACGCCTGCGGCGCCCGAACCCAGCGCGAGCCCAAAGAGTCGAAGAGGGCCACTCAGCCGCCGCCCAGTCACGTCACCTGAGACGTCGCACCGAGTCGGCGAGGAAAGAGACAGCACGAACAGGGTCACACAGGACGAACACGTGGCGAAACACATACATTTGATTCATAAACCAGCCCACATGAATCCATATGAAGTGGTTATTCAATTCAAATTGGGGAGGGCTTAGTAACTTAGTATGCTTGTTAATCAATGAATAAGCGTGGTCCCGAGTCTTACCAGTAGTGCGGCTGTGTCAGCAGAACCTCGGAAGTTGTTGCAACACCATGGATGTTCTTCCTTGTGGATGTTTTCTGGGATTCTTTTTTCTGGCACTATCTCCTGTGCTTCCTTCATTGATGACTCAGTCTGCACAACTGGGCACATGACTCATGCACTTGTCTTGCTTTGCCCAGATTTAACTGGTTGGTGCTCCTTGCGGCCTTTTTGCAGCCTTGGGTGGCATATTGTGAATGGTTGTGCTAGGTCGGATGGCGCTCCTACCAAGAGCACGTGCATAAGTTCGGTGCTGGGCCGCGCTCAAAGCGTGGAGGGGCAGCTTGTGATCATGCCTTTCGTTGTTGATGAGGGCCAACTGCCACATGTGAGAGTGCTTGCGTGGTGCTTCAGTGGTTCGCCCGTGGTTTGTCAGCCTTGGCATTCGCAACATGCCGTGTGCTTATTGAGATGGACTGCTTTCACTGAATTGCTTGGCAGGAGTGCCTCCAACGCCAGTACTTGTGGCCCAGAGGGGGTGGCGAAAGCTAGGCAAAGAAACAACGCTGGGGCTCTTTAGGCAGCAAAAGCCTGGCCGGGAATCGCAACATGCCATGGCCAAGGGAAAAGGAGAGTGCCAACAGCGCCCCCCCCAATACGACCCCAACACAGCCAACACATGGCAACACACAACCACCCCAGCAACCGCAGCAGCAGCAGCAGCAACAGCCACAACAACAATAACTGTAACCAGCAGCGGCAGCGGCAGCAAGCAGAAGCTACCAAGCAGCAGCAGAAGCAGCAGCAGGAGTAGCTAGCAAGCAGCAGCACCAGCTACCAAGCAGCAGCAGCAGCAACAGCTACCAAGCAGCAGCAGCAGCAGCAGCAGCAGCAGCTACCAAGCAGCAGGAGCAGCTACCAAGCAGCAGCAGCAGCAGCAACAGCTACCAAGCAGCAGCAGCAGCAGCAACAGCTACCAAGCAACAGCAGCAGCAGCTACCAAGCAGCAGCAGCAGCACCTACCAAGCAACAGCAGCATCAGCTACCAAGCGGAGCAGCAGCAGCTACCAAGCAGCAGCAGCAGCAGC